GTGGTTCTTCAGTGTTTCATGCTCACAGGCCTTGGGCGCTGGATGGGGACTTTGGCAGAAGAAATATGAACAAGGGAGGAGTGAGCTTGAGAGCCCGCACAGAGACATCTCTCGTATGCCTGGCTGTTTATGCTCACTCTGCTGCCTCTTAGATCCCAGGCCATGTTTTGGCTTTGAGTAACTTGTGATCCTTTTTGTTCTCTACCCCAAATTGTGCAACTTTTCTTATAGCAACTTCACCCTTGAGTTGGTGGGGTGCACAGATGTGAGCAATTTTTTCCAGGCTGTAATGAATATCTCTCCAGTACTGAGTTACTTCAGCCTTTGAGATCAGCAAAGATGTTTCATTTGTTCTATAATAAGAGCCTTTATCAGGAGTAGAATTGACATATTTACTGAATTAGTTGTCATTCCATTAGGAGACAATGATTTGGTGCCATCATGAAGGAAAAAAGTAAGATACAAATTTAAAAAGAATCTCAAGTATGATAGTTGATGTCCTTCATGAAGTAGCTTGCTGATTTCTGTCCAAACATTTAAAAGTAGCTACTGACATAAATACTATAACATTTCCATCATGTAAAAAATATGAGTGTATCAAAAGATGGTGGAACTCTACCAGGCTTTTGCCCGGAGGAGAAGTCAGCAATGTTGAAATATTAAATTCTTTTAATATGTCTTGGTTCCTGAAATAAATAGTGGACAAGGGTGGAAGGAAATTTATGAAAGCAAACATTTCAGCTTTCTGGGATTCTCTGTATGTAAGGCAAATTATTTTTGCCAGTAAGAAAATAACCAAGGTACAGGTTAGGTTTCTAAGAATAATTTGTTTTGCCACTGATGTTAGATTTGACAATAAGTGAGTACAGTAGTTAAAGCTTCCAATTATTGAGAACTTACTATGTATTAGGAATTATACAAACTTCTCTCATTTAATCCTCAACAGACTTTCAAAGTAGATATTTTCCTTCATTTTATAGATGATATTAACAGGCTCGAAAGGATTGAGTAACTTTTCCAGTGCTGGGACTGGGGTCTCCAGGGATGCAGAACTTCCAGTGCTGAAACTGAGACAGTCCAGGGTAAACTGGGATGGTTGGTAACCTGAGTGCCACCCAGCTACTGAGGGACAGTTATAGTTAGGAAGTAAGCCCAGTGTGTTCTGAACTGTCTGACAGATGGTTCATAATATTGAAACTTGCTGATTGGCCTCACAGAGAGCCCTTCAGAACATTTCTTGGTACCCATTTTCCTCTATTTTACACACAGTTTTAATAAGCTTGGTTATTTGGTTTCCAAGTGCCTTGTCAGTTAGAAACTGCACATTGGAACGGGGAAGGGATGATTTTAAAAAGGTGTGATTTCTATGGTGAGAAACAGCTGACTGACAGCAAAGGTGTGGGCAGGGAGAATGAAATATAAACTAATGAAAGATGAAATCAATACAGAGACAGGGGCAATATACCTTAATAAGAAGAGCTATTATTGAACACTTAGTATGTTCCAAACACTCTTTTACGCACTTTTTAGGTATTACATAATCAAATTATTACAAAATAGTCCTGTTCCGCAGATGAGGAAATTGAGGCATAGTAGGATTAAGTAACTTGCTGAAGGTCACACAGCCAGAGAGTGGTAAAGTCAGGTTCAAAGCCTGTCTCCAGAGCCCAGGCTCTTAACATCCTGTTTCAGTGTCGGTCCTAGATCCTGAACATGTAGCACAGCGAGTGAGTGATGTTTATTGTGATGCCCTGAATCATTTGAGAAAAAAAAAAATTAAAGCACAGGCATTCCGTTTTATTTTGTATTTATTAATTTTTAAAATTTTATCAATGTTATACGTGAACATAGATCTACGTATCTATGTCCAAAAAAAGGCTTGTTGCAAAACAAACAAACAAAAAACAAAATAAACAGAGTCCCCTCCCCCCAACTCATTTCCTCCTCCCCAGAGTCATCCGCTTTCAATTCTTGCAGTTAGTTGACTCTTGCTGGTAGTTGATCTTGTCTCTAAATGTCATATGTCCATTTCTTTGGTCAATTTTTCGGCTTTAGGAATTATCTATTGACATTTGACTGTGGAAGAAGAGAATTTTAGCTTATTTCTCCGCCTGCTCCTGCCACACATGTATACCATTTCTATTCCCTCCTTCTCCCAACAGTACATCATAGTTTTTAGTTGGATCAGTATGTTGTGGGCTCCTTTTTTATCTTTAGGCTTTTCCTTCTGGGTTAGGAAGGTTACGCAGAGACGATATCATTTGAACACCTGCTGTGGAGAATGTGTGCATTCTAGAAGTTAGCATGTAGGTGGGGGGGTGGAAGTATCTCAGTATTTATTATGTAGCGTCTCACTGACATATTTATTATGTGGTCTGCCCCTGTCTCCACTGAAGTGTCTCCATTGGTTTGCCTCCGAGGGCCTCCAAGAGTTTGGCCCTCAGAGTGTTACTCTCTCCAGAGAATAAACCTTTGACTTCTTCCAGAGCTGGAGGAGTCATAAGGCTGGGATCTAAGCAGACTCTCACCATTTTTAGCCCCAACTTTACCCTCTTTCACCTCCAGAGGTGTTTTTGGCTCTGAAAGCCTGAGCTTTTCTGGAGATTCTGTGATGAGTTGATTCTTGGTTTTCCCTATTGGCAGATAAGGTGTCAGCTTTGCTGGTCTGCTAATTGGTTACCTCTTGTCCATCTACCTTCTAGCTTCCAATATTTTGTTGCTCCTATTTTCACTTGTTTTCTCTCTGTCCTGGTGAGTTTACGTCTAAAAGAAATAAAATTCCCTTTATTGTGATATTAGTGAGATTTGGGGAAGTAGCAGAGCAAAATGTGTGTGCTTCGTAAGCCATCTATATCCTGAAGTCTGAAAGATGTTTTAGAAACCTTTCAAGGCAAGGGAGTCAAAAAAAGGTTTTGTTGCTCTACTGGGAAGACTGATAGTTTTGTGGAAAATGGGGTGGTCTAGATTTTACTTGCTGCTCAGAGTGTAGTTATAGGACTAGGAGCATCAGTATTACCAGGGCATTGCCTGAGTGCTTGTTAGAAATGCAGAATCCTGGGCCCCAGCCAGACATAATTGAATCAGAATTAGCATTTTAGCAAAATCCCTAGAAGAGTTCTATGCACATTGAAGGTTGAGAAGTACTAATGTGAAACTTACTCGACTTCTACTGTAGACTAAGTTGACTCTAATGAATTTTAATCTGGGGTTTTAAAATCTTGGTACATTCCCCTACTAAGTTATTCTCCAAATTCTAGAGGTTGCCACGAGATAAAAGGTATATAAGTTTTTATGAAAATGCACCCTTTCTCCCTTTATAAACTCTTGTCTGTACATCTGAGCCAGTATGAAATGTGAAACAAAAATTTTGTGTCAGACTGGTTATGTTCGGGCTTTTTTAGTTGCCCACAGTTCTCGAGGTTGGTGATGGGATTTTGGTGATGAGATTTTGTAGACTGGATAGGCTGAGTCTTCAGTCATGCTTTTTGCTGCTAAAGTGAGAGGGCGTCTTCTCCTAGAGGCAAAGGTTTTTTATGTCCAGCATCTATCTCAGTGACAGGTAAGTGTTCAACAACTGGTTGTAGGATGAGTGAATCAAATAAGACACAATTCCTATCTTCAAAATATTCACCAATCAACAAGAAATAAATTGGATATTTATCATACGGGGTTGACCAGGTCAAAGAAAGAGTAAGCACAGAGAAGGGGCATCTAACTTAGCATTGCTCCTCAGAATAAGGAGCCAAAGGGCTGAATCTCTTGGTGAATAGAGCTTGGTGGATTCAGAGTAGTGGTTTTCACTTTAGCACATATCAGAATCACCTGGAGGCTCATTAAAATACAGACTGCTGTGCCCATCTTTAGAATTTCTGATTCAGTAGGCCTGGGTGGGCCCAAGAATGTGCAATACTAACAAATCTCTACATGATACTGATGATGCTAATTTCATATTTTGAAAACCATTGGTTAGAGAATTATAAATAGTTCTGGTGGCTGCAGGGAGGAGGTAAGGAGGAGGCAGGAGGAGACAGGGAGCGGTATGCAATACTGAAGGCAGAAGCTTAAGGAGTAAGGATTTCATCGTGGAAGTTGCGGGGAGCCATTGGCAGGTTTTACAGAGGAGAGTGATGGACCCCTTTTTACCTTTTGCAAAGATCACTCGGGGTACAGTGTGAAGGGTGGCTCAGTGGCAAGGCCAGGTTGGGGGCCAGAAAATCCATAAGTGATTGGTTGTAGCCATTCAGATAAAAAATAATAAAAACTTGGAATAAAAGCAAGAGGAGCAAAGATTCCTAGAACTTGATGGTCGGTTGGAAGTAGGAGGGGAAAAGAGGGAGGAGTCTGTGTGGAGCATCAGATTTCTGGCTGGGTGTGTGTGTTGGGACTGCATTAATCAAGACACAAGGAGAGAAGTGGAGGTGAGAGTAAAGGAGGTAAGTTGAGGACCAGACATGTTGAATTCGAGATGCTAACAAGCTATCTGGGTGTCCCTTTCCTCCTTCAGACAGTTTTACTTATGGGTCTGGAGGTCAGGAGTGAGAATTCTGGGTAAGTCATCTAGCCCCATCTCTTCTGCCACTTTCATTTGTTGTCCTTTATTGTTTGTTTGGTTCAGGCATTGTATTTGCAAATGTATGACCTCTGAAGGGCTTGAGAATGAGATACTTTTAAAGTTGTTTTCTCAACAAATGTTCAATTTTTTTGATTGGGGAAAAGGAAAGCTTTGAAGTCCCAGTCTTACCCTAGAAGAGGTTAATACAGGCAGGCGCCTTCTGTCTGAGAGGCCAGTCAAATTAGGTTTCAGTAAGCTTGAAAGGGTAAAATCACTTGACTGGTCTGCAGACCATATGACAAACAGCTGAGACTAATTAGCTGGATTGTGGGTTTTTATAGAGATGCCTGATTTTGAAAGTTGATGAAGCAAACTGCTTTTCAAAAGACTCTTTTGAAAAACCTTTGCAAGTTGGCTATTCTGACTTTAACATTTCTCTTTGCATTAGACAAAAAGTACCCTTTTTGAAGAGGACATGTGATTGGAAGTTGTCTAATTGTTGAAGTGCTGAGAGGTCCAGTCTTGAAGGCTTAGAAAAACAACCAACAGTTTGTACTTTGTCAAGGTATGGTTTTGTATTTATCTTTTCTCTCTCTCTCTCTCTTTTTTAGTAGAGGTTTCGGGTTCTGCTACTTTCAGGCACTTAAAGTACATGCAATTTAACATAGAATGCCGTTGCACATATTAGTGTGTTTTTAAACCAAATACTTCAAGACGTCTGCTAAATTTCTTGGGTTAAGTGTGAAAAGTACATTTTCTATTACCAGAGAGTGGGTATGAATACTGACTGCATTTTTTCTTCCTTTTCTGTACTTTAATAAAGTAACTGGTTTTTATTCTTATATAATTTGTTGAACAACAGCTGATTAAGAAATTAAATTACTCGAAGAGTCTTGTCATCCTGAAGATCTTATTCACAAAAATTCAAGCTTATTGGGATTTTTGTTGTTAATATTATGAATAGCTTTAATGGAGGAAAGCTTTATGTTACATATGTGTTTAAGTATAAGGCGTATTTCTCCTATGAATTAAGTTTGCCTTTAAATTAATTTTGTTAGGTTTGGTAATGGCATTGTGGTTATGTAAGGAAAGATCTGTATATTTTAGGACTGATGAGTGACAGTATGCAGGAGTGGAAAATCTGGGTGATGAGTCTGATGGAACATTTCATTTCATTATACAATTCTTTCTTTTGAATATGTACGGCTCATTTTCTAGGGCTGCTATAACGAAGTACTACATACACCCTGCGTGGCTTAAACAACAGAAATTTGTTGTCTCACAGTTCTAGAGGCTAGAACCTTGAGATCAAGGTGTCGGCAGGGTTGGCTCCTTAGGGCTATGAAGGAAGGATCAGTTCCAGACCTCCTTTCTTGGCTTGTAGATGGTTGTCTTTTCCTGTGTTTCTTTGTATCCTCTTCTCTTTATGCGTGTGTGTCCAGATTTCTTCTTCTCATAAGAACACCAGTCATATTGGATTAGGGTCCACCTACTTGATTATCTCTCTACAGGCCCTCTCTCCAAATAAGGCCACATTCTGAGGTACTGGGTGTTGGGACTTCAACATATGAATTTGGGGGCCACACAGTTCGACTCAGAACAGATAAGTCAGAAAGATTTCATTATATTACATTTTAAAGATTTGCCTCCTGGTGCTTTCAATAAACATTTATCAAGCCGAGTGTCTAGACTCTACTGGATGTTGAACGTATGAAGATGAATGGGACATGGTCTCTGCCCACTACCATTGGTTAGAGCAGGTGACTGGACGTAACTTGCTGCGTGTGTGTGTGTGTGTGTGTTTACTTATCTCTTCCATCATGCTGTGGCCACTTTCACAGTCGGGTGTCCCTAGGGACACAATCATAGTCCTGCCTCATGGGCAGCCTGGTATCCTTTGCAAGGCACCTGGAAGGCCTCTCTTTCTCTCGAACACCTTCGAGATAAGAAAGGATTGGAAGGACCCTTAACACTCATCTAGTCCAGCCTCCTCATTTCACAGGTGAAGAAACGGCGGCTGAGAAGTGCTAAAGTCTTCTCAGTGTCAGAGCCAAGGCAGTGTGCTGACCAACACGTCATTTTGTTTTCTTTGCCACAGGTTCATGCTTTTTATCTAGAAGTGAACTCAGAATCCCATTATCAGATGTCACTGTGAGAAATAGTCTCATAAAAGGGTGACATTCTCTTCTCTGTCAGGGTTCTTGGATTATAGGTACAAAAAAAAAAAAAAACGCTTTGGGGAGGAGTGTTTATTCATGAGGCCATTATACCCCATAGAATGCCCAGGTTGCATTTAATGCATCCCAAAGGGGTTTACCCTCATCTTGGCTGCTTTCTCTTACCATTTTTTCTTGCTCTTTCTAGATATAGTGTTCAGTGACCCAGCAGTTCAAAAAAGAAGAAAAAACAATTTTTCTTCTTTCTTGCTGCTGCTGCTGCCCACAGGAACTGTGGCAGAAAGAGAATGCTGATGAAACCCTGCCGGCCAGCAGGATGCACCATGGCAACTAGGACCTGCATACGTTAGCACATCCTGGAGCCCAGGGCTGCCTCTGCTGCTCTTTCAGCTTCTGCCCTCTCTAGACTTTCAGTACCTGAGTTCTCAAAAAGGAAATGCTTACTTACCACTTCCCTCAGTCTCTGTTTTCTCTTTTTAGGATTAAATCTTCCTGAGACATCTGCCCATCTTTTGCTACTCTTTCCTTCTTCCTCCTGAATTTTGTTTGTTTGGAGCTGGAGCTCAGAGTATAGTATACGTGGTAGCTGATGAGTCAAGTAACATGCTCATTAAAAACAAAAGCTAATCTTTGCGGAAGCTATCATTCTTTTGTGCTGTCTTTGCAAAAGGGCACCTTCCTGCTTTCTTCTACACTCCTGGTGTTGCTGTAACATAGTGGGGGCCTGGCTCTCTGGGCAGAGCAGAGGCTGGATTCAGTGGGGATTGGAGAGTAGGGGGGTGATGAATGAGATGAAGGTGCTGCTTGAGAGATGAACTTGCATTGCTACTGCTTCCCTGGAAGCAGGAGCTGCTTTACTCAAACACATGCAAATCATCCCAGAGCTGAGAGCTCCGAATTTTTTGTTTGTTCATTTGTTTGTTTTCCTGTTTTCTCCATTTCGTGCTCGATTAGTTGTGTCTTCTCTCTGATGTAATCTGCTCAGGAATCCTTTAGCTACGAGTAAGAGATTAATCATTCAGCAAATATTAAGTGAATCTCCTTTCTTCACAAGGAGAAAGCCCAGACCACTTTAAGCTCTCACCTCTGTGCTGTGGTGACTGACCCAGCCTGTGGACTGACAGTTGTCTGAAAAATCTCGTCCTCATATCCTCCTTGGCTCTCTCTTGCTGCTCCTTCCATTTTAGCTCTCTCTTCTCTCTAAAAGGCCATCTTATCTCTCCCTTGACCTCAGAAAATCAACTATGTTGATGATTCTAAAATCCATATTGTTAGCCCTTATTTTTCTTTTGAGCCCTTGTGCAGTTTTCCAAATGCCAATTAAACCTAACTTCCTGGATATCTCTGAGATGCGAGGGACATTTAATTGGTCATGTACCATACAGTATGATGTAGTTGAGAGTGTGTCTGGGTTCAAATCTTGGCTCTGCCTTTTATTGTCTGTGCGAGCTTAGAGAACTTACTTAACTTTCCTGTGCATCAGTTTTCTTATCTGTAAATTAGCTCACAGGGTTGTTGTGAGGATCAAATGAGTTACTATTTTAAAGGGCTTAGAAAAGTACTCAGTAAATGTTAGTTATAATCATCTCAAACCACCTTTTTCTCTCTTACTTAATGATAATACCATTTATTCAGTTATCAAACTAAAAGTTTGGGATATCTTTAACTCCTAGACCGGTTGGTTAAGAAGTTATTCTGATTTTTCTACCTCCTAAATATGTCTCGAATTAATCCCATGCTCTTCATCCCCACTGTCACTGACACAATTCACGCACCATCTCTCCCTGTAGCCTCCTGATCCTCTTGTATTCCTAGTCTCCACGTGGCTGCCAGAAAGATCTTCCTCAGGCACAAACCTTGTGTTCCTCTCCTTTATAAAAGTCTGCAGTGGCTTTCCACTGCCCAGAGGGTAACAGGCAAACATGTTAGTGCCACGGTAGAGTCCTTGTAGGCCTAGGTCCCAAACGCCCATCTTTTCAGTCTCTATTTGGACACATCCTCTCCTGCCCCTGTGCACACTTTAGCCACATCCATTTGCTAGGTCCCCTTAATGCATCATAACCTTTTCCATCTTATTCCTTTGCAAGTACAAATACCCGCACCCTCACCCGCACCCCCACCCCCACCCCGCCCCTCACTCTCACCCTCCCAGTCAGTCACCCAGCACTTGCTTCCTTCTCATGTCTCTAAGCCTGGTCTGAGTTTAGACCATTGTGCTTTAATGTCAGACAGTCCTACCTAATCCCATCAAAAATCAGTTGCGCCTTTCATCAGATTGACATCAATGATCATTTTGTTCATAGTTTCTGTTCTCTTTGAAGGGTGATGCTTATTTGACTTATGGTGTGAAGTCCTTTACCACATCATCCTGTGAACTGTCTGTTCAATACTGGAAAGGGAAAAACAAAATGTAATATTTTCAGTTTAATAAATCATTAGAATTAGTGGCTAAGTAATAAATAGAAGATATATATATATGATGTCACTTACATAGTGACAAAAATATTAAGTATCAATAAGTCTCAAGATGTGTAAGCACTTTATGAAGATTATTTATTGGCAAAATTTTTAAAGGCATTGAAAATATGTAAATAAATGGAGTGATATACTTGTATGTGGATAGGCAGATTCAATATCTTCAATACGTCTGTCTTCTCAATTTGAGCTATAGATTTAATGCAATCCCAATTAAAGTCTCCATAAGGTTTCTGAGGAACTTAGATGAGAGTGTGAAAGGTCAAGAATGTCCACAGTAGGTGGAGGGGACTGGTTCTCCCAGACAGAAAGTTGTATCATAAAGTCATAGTAATGAAGGCCTTGTGACCCTGGCCCAGGGGTAGTGAAAATGACCAAAAGAACAGAAAAGAGAGCCCTGAAATGGATCTGCTCATATATGTTGAATCACTAGGGAAAGGACAATTTTTTTTCAATAAATGATGCTATGACAGTTAAGTATCCTTCAGGAGAAAACAGTGACATTGGATGCCTATATACACCATAAAAAATTACTAATGGATAAAAGACTTAAATGTGAAAGGCAGCACCTTTAGAAAATAATGTAGAAGAATATCTTTATCATGTTAGGGAAAGCATTTTTCAACATGATATAAATAGAAATAACTATAAAAGAACAGACTGATAGATTTGACTACTTGAAAACTGAGCCATTTAAAAAGTGGAGAGATGAACCAAAAACAGGAAGAAGATATTTGCAATGTCTATAACTGACAAAGGACTAGTATCAGGAATATATAAGAACTCTTTTCTACATGTCCATAAGAAAAAGACAACCCAATATAAACATAGGGAAAAACATGAATGTGCTTTTCCATAAGACGAAATTGAATGGCCAAAAAATTTAAAGAAGATGCTCAACCATATTAACAAT